AGTGGGGTGGCGATAAAATAGTTAAGGGAGAAACAAGTTGCTTTGAAGGCACTAACTAGGGAAATGGCCACAGATACTCTCACCCTGTTTGAAAAGGTGGAGCGTCTAAACCAATCGCTTAAGGGAGCTCGAAGCACCTTGGAGATCCTGGAGAAGAAGGTCTCTCAACTCAAAGATGAAGTGGTGGCGACTTTTGTCCATCGTTTTGAGAAGGAAAAAAGGAAGGTTGTTTTCCTTTATCCTTGTCTGGATTTAAGTTTGATGGATTCCTTTCATGCATTTCGGGATGGACAACTGGTGAATAAAGAATAGTTCCCCTTATTTTGACTTTTGTGTTGTATTTCTATGTCCCTCCGGAGCTTTTTGCAATTTTAATGAACAGTGGTGCCCCCTGAGGGTATCTTTTATTTTAACGACTCTTCTTGTTATCTTATGTAATTATTAGTGATTTTAACCCTTTAGTGTTTAATTGAGCGTGTATATCATCATCGCCCCCTTCAAAATAATTTGGTTCCTTGCGAGGAGACTTTTACAAGGATCCCGTTTTAGGAATTTCGTATAGTGGTCACCTTTAAGGACGACAAGGATCCCACTGAAGGATCCATCAATTATTATCGTCTTTATGGGCGGCAAGGAATCCGCTTAAGGATTGAGTTAAATTGATCACCTCTAATGGGCACAAGAACCCTCTAGAGGATTCAGCTAAATGATCGCCTCTATGGGTGACAGGGATCCCTCTTGAGGACCCAACTAAATGATCGCCTCTATGAGCGGCAAGGATCCCTCTTGAGGATCCAACTAAATGACCGCCTCTATGGTAAGTAAGGATCTCACTTAAGGCTCCAGAGATTGATCGTCTCAAAGGATGGAAAGGATCCTATTTAAGGATCCAACTATTGATTTCCTCAACGAGCAAAAAAGATCTCACATTGAGATCCAACGATTACTCGCCTTAATGGGTGGTAAGGATCTTATTTAAGGATCCAACTAAATTGATCGCCTCAATGGGCGACAAGGATCTCACATTGAGATTTAACGATTAATCACCTCATTGGGTGACACATATCCTATTTTAGGATCCAACTATTGCTCTCCTCAATGGGCGGCAAGGATCCTATTTAAGAATCCAACTAAATTAATCGCCTTAATGGCCGGCAAGGATCCTACTTAAGGATCCATCTATTTGATCGCCTCAATGGGAGATCTTCTCTTGAGATTTTAGGTTTTCTACAAAGAAAAGTGTAGCCAAACATACAAATTCTCTAAAATAATAAAAGAGAGGTGTCTCATTAAAAACCCTCGCTCTATGTAAAACCGCAAATAGAAAAGAGTGCACCCCATGTAATAACTTATCTTTAAAATTGATAGAGATGCAATACTCACCTATAAAATTTGTCAATAAAGTAATTAAACACTAATAAAGATAAATAAACGACTGCCATGCTGATGTCTCTAGGGGGCGTCCCTTATAGATCTTAAACCTTCAGTCTCCTCAAAGGTTGTAGAAGAAGTCTTCTTGCCCTTGCAGATTTCTCTTGGCGCTGTTATTCTTGAGCTCATCATCCTAGCTTTCCCGCCTAGAGAGAGGATCCACTTTACCTTAAGGTTTTTTGCGTAACACTTCTTAGAGATCTCTTTATCTCCTTGTATGAATTCGAATCTCCATTGGGGAGTGGGTACTTCATGCATAAATACAGAGTTGGCAAGGCGGCACCCAGACTATTAAAATGTGGTCACATTATAATCATATTGCATAAAGAGGAGGCATTAATAACCAAATACCTAACCTTTATCTTTTTTTATGATCCTGCTTTCCAATAGTGATCCTCAAGGTGATGTATCCTTTTACTTGTACCCGTTCTCCAGAGAATCTAACCAGCAATCCTCTAAAAGACTTCAAATGTTCTAGTTCAAGGCGAATTCTTTCAAACGACTACCAATATAGTATGTCTACGTAACTCCTTTGGTCAACGAGAACTCTTTTAATTTCTCAATCTACGAAATTGATGGTAATGACCATGGGGTATTCATTATGTGGGTGGATGATAGTCGATTCTTTCTCTAAGAAGGCGATCGTGGTTTCTAGCGTTTGATGCTTGCTTTCGATTTTGACTACGACTTCAAAGAGGTTTTCTATACTCAAGATCTAGCGGAAGTACCTACTTTATGAGGAGTTGGTTTCCCCACCCCAGTGATTCCTCTTTCTATGGTGTTCAGCAGTGTTGCACACATCTTTACTTCCCTCACCTTGGGATGTCAACTTTGCTTTATCTGGCCTTTGGGAAGAGTCTCCCTTCACATATTTCTTGAAATGTCCCTCTTATATCAGCCTCTCAGTTTCTTTCTTGAGCTAATAGCAATCTTCATTATGGTGTCCCTTGACTCTATTGAACTTGCATAATCTTCTCGATTCAGAACCTATCACATCCGCCTTAGGAGAAAGTGGCGTAGGGAGGTTGTGCAGGTGGAGAAACTCACGTCAGATCCGTTCACAGTGATTATTTAGTTTCGTGAAGTTCTTTGCCACCTTACTTGCCCTTTTGAACGCAATCTTGTCTTTTATGGGAGAGGTATAATTGCTCTTCCTTTGGTGATATGAGCCCTCAACATTGGAAAGACGCTCCTTGACATCGTGTGCCTTCTTTTCGACATTGCACTTCTTGGCCATTATGTAACAATCTTCTCTGGTGACCACTTCTACCAATGAAACCACTGGCTTTTAGGCAAGGGAGTCATTAAAGTGTCCCGCCTTGAGTCCATTTTGGAGCGCCCCCATAAACATCTATTGGATTGGTGGGATGACCATGATGGTGGTTTCGTTAAAGCGGGCGAGATAGTCCCTTAGTGACTTTGATGGACCTTGGCGTATGTTAAACATACTTGTGGTGGACATCTTCCTATGACGGTTGGTGGCGAACTGGTGTACTAGCTTCTTTACTAGTTGTTAATAATTGTTGATGGAAGCACGGTGTAAACCCATATACCATCGAAGGACGGAATCCCTGAAAGTGCAAGATAGCAGCTTGTACTTCAAAGAGTCAAGTTCTCATATGATGTCCCTATGTGTGTTTATGGAGGCGATGTGCTCGTTGAGATCGATGTGTCCATCAAACTTTGACAAATATGAGAGGTTTGAAACCTTCAGGGAGAGGCGCCCTCATATCTCATCCAAGATTGGATGGGGGTCCAACAAGTTCATCTCATTCGGGGGATTGGATTCCTGTTGGCGCTGTCTGGTATTGTGGATGTCATCCTCCAGTGTCTGGTTATGTCAGTGTAACTCGTCCATGGCAGCACATATCTCTTCTAGGGCATTGGTATCACTGCTACCGCTGGTACCTCCTGGCATAGGTGATGAAAATCTCATGTTAACCATGGTTGAAAATGGCTAGGCGTATGACTGGAGGGTAACAACAGGCTGGGTGATGGTAATGAAGCCGGCGTGACCCAAGTAAATCTACTAGGGCCCCACGATATGCATCACTGTACTAGTCAAAAAGTACAGATATGTGTGTTCCTCCGGCAAGGGCAGAAGAACTCAGAGGCCTTAGTAGGTTTATAACAATTGTGAGGTGGTTATAGCTTGTTCGCGGTGACGAGAAGCCCTGTACGGTGGTTTTTATGGTGGTTTTAGAGACCTGCTCACATGAAGTGATAAACCTTGTAACAGAATGATGTGCTTATGGGTAAGCGTATGAAGGGTGTGGTTAGTATAAGTTATGATTTGCCATGTCGTCCACTAAGGGAGGTGTATTTATAAAGGCCTTTTGGACTTAGGATTTGGGTAACCCTAATTGACAATAATTGTCTCTCCTGTTCAAGGAAAGTTATTAACCGTCTATCCTATATCAATAGTGACGGTGGACTACCTCTCCCTTAACTAACAATTTTACACATGTCATCAATGTTTAAGACGAGTCCTTAAATCATCGCTTAAGCGGTTGTGCGAGACACCCTAATTTAAGAAACTCCACAAATATAACACTCCAATTATTAAATCTAAATATCTTGAGAACCCATATTAATTGGAATACCTAAGGACCACTAAAAGACATCTCTAAAAAAAAAGTCCATCAAACCCCACATGTCCCACCAACCATCCATCGGACACCATAATCCTATTTAGCCTACCAGAATTTCATTTAGTCCAAAGAAAACACTATCAATTATTATTATTTTTATTAACTTTAAAGACAGCAACTTTGTTTTAGATTAATAATAGTTTGAATATTTTTCCACGCGGCCTTACTTATATGAAATAATTTTGAAGTTTATTATATGAAATGAAAATGATGAGTTTTATTGGTTGTTAACGGTATAAAATAAATTACTTGTGAAAAAAATTACACGTACAAACGACACCAGTATTAGCTCTTACTAGTTTTAAAGAATATTCGATTTTGTTTATTTGGCAGAATTCTATCACAGCCCTTAAATTTCGTTGGATTTTTAGCAGAATATTAAAAACAAAAATCAATTTACAAATTCAATTAACCAAATGTAAACAGACATGACATAGATTGTTTAGATGTTAGGTACCATACCAAAAAAAATCAAAGGGTGGGGGAGTGTTCACCTTACCGAATACATTGCATATAGTTAAGGCTATAGTGTACTTGATGATTGAGTATGGGGATGTTTAGTTTTTGCAACTTGTGTATCTATAACTGTCTATGGTTGATGTATGGCAAGTAGATATATGTACAAATTTATTGGTAAATTTAATTAAGGAAACTTTGTTTAGACTGTGTTAGAGTTCACCCAAGCTTCTTTGGCTTTGGTGATTGCAAAGTATTCAAAAAGGTTAATATGTTGTTAAACAAAAATGAAAAAAAAAAAAAAAAAAAAAAACTCAGTAACTATTGTACATAAAGCCGCACCTAATTCTATCTCATCCTCGTAATATCATTTTCATTTTACTACGGTTGTTTTTGTTACTGTCTTAGTAATAATCGCATGGCATACAGTTACTGATATTACCAACCAACGACCTATACAGGTCAAAAAGTTCTCTGAAATTGGTTCAATGGATGAACAGAAGTTGAATTCAACTCAGAAGATGATGCCAATGGCGAAGCATCTTTGAGTTGATTATACCTTGCAATATCAAAATTGTGAAGTTTCATCAAACGCTTCTGCTTAGTGCTGAAACGGCTTTGATAGAAACCTTCAAAGCAAGGCTCTTTTGATGTTCTCATGAAGAATGTGTAGCCGGCCATGAAGTACATTGAGGTCACATAGAAGCATATGGGTTCCATTACATCCCAGTTAAGTTCCCAGAATGTGAGCCTCATGAATGCTGCTGTTTGTACCATCAGAAAGCCGAGTCCGCCCCAGAGCTCACGGCGAACCGTTGCGTCAGCTTTGTTGTCAATAGCTGCTTTCACTTTCTCCATTTCTTCAAGTTCTTTTGTTACTGCATCGTTAGGTTTTTGACCTGGTACAGGGAGGAGAGCCTGGATTGTTTTTGCTACCTGCATCACAAATTTGAGAGAGTTTGGGTAAACATAGTTCAATCTGTATTGTTTTTTACTCTCAAACTTTAGTAATTACAAAATTTACTGTAATTACAGTAAAACTTTGATAATTGTATTGAAAACTAAATCATTGGGTAACCTTTACACAACTTGGCTAGGATCAGACAAATTGACTTGAATAAAACAAAAAGCAAACGTGTATTCAATTAAAATAAAGAAGGAGATAAACTAAAAGAATCCCTCATTCATAAAGGTCCTGACTTTTATGAACATGTATTTATGATGGAAGAAATTTAGCAGATTGAATCTCTGCTGCCCCCCACCATAAAGAAAGAGAAAATAAATAAAATCTGCAAATGGAGAACAGGTAGCAAGATAGAGAAAACATATACAATAAAGTTACAGGAATCCAGGAAGTAGCCAAAATCTATGAATTGAAATAATACACACACCTTGTCACGTAGCTAGCATGCAATATAATGTGACATACACACCTTGTCACAGATCTAAGACTTGTCACAGAATTTTTTGCTATGCGACAATCATAATAAATAACATAAAAATAAAAAATATGAATCAACATTGTCAACAAAAAAAAAACAAGTATAACTATGTCAAATATCAACAAATTTTTTATAAATACGACTACAATTTTAGTAATAAATTATTCATAAATGTTTAAAAGGAATTTTGACCAGATAAGCTTATTAAATATTTATATTATTATTCTGAAAAATTAGCTTTTTAAGTATAATTCAGATAAGATTGTAATAAGTGCTCAATTATTTATAATTTACATTTATTAAAAATCCCCAAAAAATATTAAAATTAATTTTTTTTACCAAGAATTAGGGAGTATAATTAATAAAAATTAATCTCACTAGTGTCTAAAATTGATTTTTATAGTTCCTTAAAAAATTGATCTAGTCAGGAAATTGACAAGATATATGAATGGTTAATTTTAAAATTTGTCAAATCTACCAATAATTAATTGTTACCGAAAAATAAACAACTTTCTAGATATTGCGTGAAAAAAAACTCATTTTTATCCATGGAAATTACAATTGATGAGCTGGACCAAGTCAGGCTCTCAATTATCATGGATGTAAAAATAAAAAGTAATTTTTTATAACTATAAAAAAAAATCCCCTTGAATGGAGGTAGGTGTGAAAGAGTAAGGGCTTTCGGCAGCCCTTAATTTACCATCTCAAACGGAGAATCCTTTACACGTTTTAGATCTCAGCAAACAACAAACTCTCAATTTCCTGTTCAAAAGTAAAGAAAAAATAACCACAAAACCTCATCAGTTTTCAGCCATCTCAAATTCACGGCCTAAAATTAAACTCAACTAGTCAACAAAAAGCATGCGCCGATCATAGAAAGTTCAGAAACCTATCTTTGGATCTTAATAGTATTATTCTCCATCATGAACCACTCTGTATCAGCCCACAAATCAATACACACCACAACGCAACATATAAAACAAAATTGAAATAATAAAATAAAAATAAATTAAAACTTAATAGAAAATGAAATTAAATTTACCTGTTCAGGTTTCAGAAAAACGACGTCGCCTAAGATGATTACAGTAGCGGAATCGTCCAGTATTTTCGCAATCCGCTTCGCTTGTTCTTGATCGGAACAATTTTCGCCGCACATTTGAATAAACTCCGAGTACGTCACGCAATTCTGCGGGATCTTCCTCAGCTTCGACTTCACAGCTTCAAGCTGCGCCGCTCTCAACAATTTCCGAACATCTTGGACTTCCACGTCCGATTCCTCCTTCTCCGGCGGAGTTAACCCGTCCAAACGGATCCGGTTTCTCGCAATGTCCATCTCCCGAAGTTTCTGGATGAGACTATCCCCGGCAGGATGCAGAGATCGGGCCTCCGGTAGGAAACCGGCTCTCTTATGGAGAAACCTACGGAAAACGCCGTCGTCCCCAGGCTCCGGGGCAATGTCGGGCTTGGCGGCGGTGGAAGGGATCCGAGATTGAAGAGAAGAAGATGAAATACGGCAGTTTGAGAGAGATTGCGACGACATTTTAGTGATGTTTAACAGACGCTGAGTTAGGGTTTTCTTAAACGCCATTGATGAATATAAAAATAATGAAACTAAAGAGAATGAAAGTGTTCAATGGAGATTGCCTTAAAGTAAGAAGAGATGGACGGTATTTATAGGTGTCCCAAAAAAACGGAGAACACTGGTTAACGTTTTCAATTAATTATTTTTCTAAATTTATTATTTATAAATAAATAATTGAGATAACGATTACGAAAGCTACGCGAGAATTTGTACGCGATATCGTCGGTGAGATATTGAATTTCAATACAGAAGTTGAATTGAATTCATCAGAATTCGATGTCTCTATCCTTGTGTCATTCGAAAACGAATATTCGGCTACGATAAACTGAAATATAAGGGTTCACGGGAATTAAAGGAGAACCGTACACGTGTACGTAGATGGCGAATAAAGACTAAGTCGATGACAGATTTTAACCGTGTAACATATGGATAAGTAAAGGTTAAAAGATAGCTGTTGTATTTCTGTACGTAATAATTTAGAATTATTGGATTCTATATTAAAATCAAAAGACAAATTTAAGATTTTAATTTTAATTTTAATTTTGATTTTAAAGTTTAAGTCTAAATTGGGATGTGAGAGGAGGTTAGTTCTGGGGCTGGTTCTTAGCTGTGTGGGGGCGTTGTTGACTCGGTTGTAACCTGAACTAGTTGATTATTATTTTTATTTTAGGTGGAAAAAAAGAAAAGGTGTGATATCACTATCAAAAAAGAAATTATAATTAAAGAAGTAAGTGAAATGGATTGGTTAGAATACTAAAATTGGCATTCTTTGCATGAGATAGGGGAAGTAGGGGAATGAAAGAAGGGTTGACACAAATAGATGGAATTTACAAAAATCGCCATTTTCTTCTCCAAATTACATAGTGGAACATCTAATCATCAAATTTATAAAATAGTAATTTTACTAATATTTTGCTAGTTTTTTTTTTAAATGAAATTTAGTAGGACCATTATGAATTGGTGATATATTATTTGGGCAAATGTACACCTTGGGTTCCTCTATAAAATGACATGACATGTTAGTATTTCTTTTGGCATACAGTTAGTCATGTTACTCTCACCATCCATTTCATAAAGTTAGTCATGCTAGACCGGTCCTTCAAATTGGGAATACATTCCTAGTTTTAAGTCAGTCCATGAAAATATATATTTTTAATATATAGTTGAGAATATAATTATAAATGGCCAGTGTAAATTTTTTTCTTTTGAAAGTTATAAGAAATCAAAAAATAACTTTTAATTATTTTTTACTCTTTCATCGATTATTGAGAGATAAACTTTACAAATGAGTTATAAATACATCAAATCTAATATAAAGATTGAAAGACTAAATGTATATTATTTGATTGATCGGTTGTGTATTAAAAAAAAAACTTACTAGTCCAATCTTGAAAGACAATTAGTATTCATATTGAACAAATCAGTTTTATTTAGGGGTAGAAAAAAATCGAAACTCATTCAAAATTGATAAAACTGAGACGATGAAAAGTCAAATAGGTGGGTCGGAACGGGTTATCGGATGAATATTATCGATTTCGCATGAGTATGAACGGACGGACTCAAATATTAAAATGCATTCATATAAAAATGAAATCGACCGATTCATTTATATTCTACATATATTTTACTTTTGTAATCAAAATGTAAAAGGTAATACATACTAGTGATGCCACAACTATGCTATGATGAGACGTGACTTTTGAAATTCTTGAAAATGGAGAAAAGATTATTGCATTTAATTAGAAATACAACTCTTTTTACTTTTTCCTCTAAGCACAACTATCCATTTTATAAATAAAAAAAAATTGTTTTATTTTTCTTCTCATCTCCATTTCAATTATCCTAGTTCACTATGGACGAAGCATATGATTCTGACAACAAATATTCTTAATATTTTATACTTATGTTTCATCACTCCAATAGAAATGTTGTTTGTCTTTGGATCTACTGGTTTGGAGAAAAATACTTGTTTCTCTAACCCCTTCAGAACCAAAACCCTCTCATCATTTTCTATGATTATTTTGATATCTCAACTCTGTTTTTTCTTTCTTCTAAAACTTTTTGGTTGTTGGTGACTTAAAAAAGGATCTGAAACCCGTCGAAACCACTATTTAAGGAAACCAAAAGCTTAAATGGACGGAGATGGGCCATGATTTAGCAACCATGGTTTCAATCGGATTGATATTTTTGGTCCGTCACCGACCGTTTACCCACACCTACCTATAAAAAATAACATTGTTTGTATTTATCCGAGTGATGCATGATTATCTTGTTATTAAAGGTACATGGAGGTTCATAACTTGATTCTTCCATTTCACACTACACAAGTATATTTGTAAAAGACACACAAGAGGTAATACATAGTTCACCATGGACAGGCGATATGACATGTCACTCGAAGCAAGTTTCTTAGTTGGCCATTTATTATAACTCATTATCTAGTTATTTAGCTCGTTGACTATATCACTCATCCATTTATGAAAATGTGGGGAATGATGTGCATATATCTCGTAACGGTATAGGAAAGACAGACAAAGGAGGTCATGTTTTCCATGATAACATGGGTAATAATGACTCCACTTCTTGAGAGAAGGATACACTAACCATTTTCTAGGATCTTAAGAGCAAGGCCTAATCCACCTTTATAAATACCTCAACCAAGAAGTTGAAAGGGGAGATTCAATCTCACTAAGAAATCACCTAGATACAGAGTTTCTCATCTTCCATGCATGAGCTTGCTCTGACACCACAACAACCTTAAAACTCTCTAACATCCCTACATAAATTGAGGTTAGCATTCATTGTGCTTTTAGAAAGTATAATTGACGCCCATTGTGGGGCCCCTTGGTAAAACATACTTATACCACCATTACATCAGATATCCAGATTGTTATTCACATCTCCAATCCCTTTATCTAATATGGTAAATAAGAAGGTAACAACTCTATATATTAGTAGTACTAATGTGTGCCTCCATGGATGACTTACGTCATCAGAATCAGACTTTTGAGTACAATGTTCTTCATAGCCAGTATCGCTAACAAGAGGTTGACCCTTGTGAATCTCATTCTGATAAAATATGGGGGAATTATTGTCAAAAAGCATCAAGCTACCATTAGTGGCCGATTTTTATGGACAGAAAGACCCTTAAGAACATGTTGTCTCCATCAACATGTAGAAGGCAATTATTACAGTCTTTGAATCCCTAATGCAATTTTCTCTCTAGCACCTTAAGGGATGTAGCATTTAGGTGGTAGACGAGCATACCCCGACTCTCAATCACCAACTATTGAGACTTAATGCATAAATTAGTTCATTAGCTTACATCTAGCAAACAAGGAAAAATTCTTCGAAGAGTGGTGGTTCGACCATGCTTTTGGGACTTACCAAAAATTTCTGTTGTTGAAGTGAGTAGTTTGACACCATCTACTTCGACAGGCAGGTAGCGTCGCAGCAAAAGGTGGTCGAAGAATCAATTGTTTGGGCGCGATTTTGTCACGTTCAAATCTTGGTAATTGCTTGGATTCTTATCTCAGAAGGACATGCGGAGAAAATTGGAAAGAAAATTACATGCAGAAGTGCACGTGGCGAACCAATAGGAAAGGAACGTTATAGGATAGTTATTTTAGACTTCTATATATAGTAGTTCATTTTATTGGATTAGGGATGTTCATTTGTACTAAAAAAAATCTCACAAAGAAACTATAAGTACCAGTGTTAAGAGAAACGAGAAAATGACTGAGAGAATGTAAGCATAGATGAAACATCATGTTTACTATTTATTGCAAAGTGTCTTAATTCATTTAACTTACATTGTTTTGTTCATTTTCATCTTTTCACTAGCCTTTATTTTTCCTCTAAACATTTTCAATATTTTTTACTTTTACTTTACTCTTTCTGCAAGAGGTTTAAAATCTCATTATTGCATTATCCTTATACATCCATTCGACCTAATCGAAGTCCATAATTCTAAGACTACAAAGGAAATAATAATAAACAAGTCCTTAAGCACTCCATCTTAAGGATTCACTTGTTGATCCTGCTAGTAAATAATACATTTGGAGACCAACGGTTGTTTACCATTTTTCAAGGTAAACAAATAGGCACGCCTAGTGGGACAGGTGCTAAGTGTATTTTGTTTATATAAGCCTTTATTTTCTTACATTAGAAATTTGAGTTGTACTTTCTGATACCTATTCAGAGATTATGATTCTTCAACTTCTTTCTCTAGCTTAATACATTCTTCAACTTCAAATTCATGAGCCCTTTTCAAGTTCTTGAATTTGCATTGAAGTTTCTGAGACCTATTAAGAGATTCTGACAAACGTAGTTCTAAATCAGCACAGAAAATTCAAAAAATGTCTCTTTTGAGTCAGTCTCTATTTCTGTTATATTTCCTTTAGGTGTGGTAGCAATGAGTGCTATGTTGGCATGCTTCTCTTCAGAATCAGATTCTGATACTTCAGAGTCAGAGTCATTATATGTTTCCATGAGACCTTTCTTCTTGCCTTTGAACACATCCTTCCTGAACCTTTCTTTTATGAAGATTTCTTTCTTAAGCTTTGGACATACATTTATGTAGTGTCAGGGCTCCTTGCATACATAGCATGTTACTTCCTTTCTTGTTCTACCTTTTAAAGATGAATCTGGACGATCTCTTCTATTTCTGCACCTTCGAAACTTTTTTTATTTATTTTCTTTCAGAGTTGTTTGATTCTTCTGGAGGGAAGGAACAATTCTTCTTCGTCATCAGAATCTTTTTATTTAGAATATTCTATTTCTTCTTCCTTAGCTTGGACAACTTTGTTCTTTTCTGACTTGTTTCTTTCTGATCTAGATCTCAGAGCGAAAAATTTGACCTTTATCTGAGGCTCATCTTCCTCTAACTCTATTTCATGGCTTCTGAGTGAGCTAACCAACTCTTCAAAGCTTATAGTGTTCAGATCCTTGGATAGCTTTAGTGCAGTAACCATTGGTCTCCCTTTCTTGGGGAGGCTTCTTATGAT